GGGGAGCTGGACGGAGCCTGCGGGGGGAGGGGGGTGTGGGAGGAGGGGAATAGCAGGGCCCTGAGCGGTGCCCCTGACCGCGGTGTCGGATGGGAGGAGGCCAAGGAGGAAGGGCCGTGCAGAGCGCCTCCCTCTGAGGCTGTGGGCGCCCGAGGGGCAGGCACCGTGTCCCCGAGCCTCAGGCCTCAGAGCCAGAGCCTCCCCAGCAGCTCCCCCCCCCCCGCCCCGCTCACCCCAAGACCTCGGAGCTTCTCCAGCCCCCCCCTTACCCCCTCCCGCCAGCACGCTCCTCTGCCCTCAGAGTGCCCTTGGCAACGTCCGACTCAGCTTCCCCCTCCCGGGCTTGAGTGCCTCCTCCTCCAGGTAGCCTTCCTGATTGCCCCCTGCCCCAGGCAGGACTCCCATCCCTCATAGACATTGCTGCTCCCTGCCATTCACAGGTCCCACCCCAAACTTTGGACTAGAGGCTGTGTCTCCGTAGCCCAGGGCCCTCCCTCCTGCCTGGTACTCAGGCCACCTCGTGTGTCTGCGGAAGAGGGAAGGCCACACGTGAGCTCAGGTTCCAAGCCGGGGCCTCGGTCTGATCACAGGAAACGGGGCGCACCGTCCCGCCTGCCTGACAGCCGCCTCAGGTGGGCACTGAGGGGTCAGTGCCAAGGAAGGCTGGTCCTCACCCTGCCCCCCAGGGGACCGGGCCCAGCAAGATGGGCCGCTGCCCACCTGTCCCCCGCCCGCCGCCCGCCGCCCGCCGGTCCCCCGCCCGCCGCCCGCCGGTCCCCCGCCCGCCCTGCCGCTGTGGAGAGGACTCAGCCGCTGGCGGTGGAGGAGCCTCCGCAAACACATTTAAATCTGAAGTGACAGATAAAGCGATTTACGGCGACAGTTTAGCGTCAGATCGCTTCCCACAAGGCAGCCGGCGTCCCCGGCCCCTGCTTGCTAGTCCATCAAGGCGGTCTCTAAATCACCGCTCCGAGCCGGCCAGGGACAGCGGGAGGGGGGCGGGGCTGGGCCCTGCGGGCGCAGAGGGATGAGCCGCCGCTCGGCTGGCTTGGCTGCCGGAGGGCAGACGCTGGCAGACCACAAATCAGAGCCCAGGGACTTCGGGAAGCGGAGGCCACTTCACGCCTAGTTCTCAGCAAATAAGCGGCTTTCACCCCCAGGCGGCCAGGCCAGCATGTGGCTGTGACCGTCCGCCCGCCCACAGGCCGTCCACCCGCCCGCCCACAGGCCGTCCGCCCGCCCGCCCACAGGCCGTCCGCCCGCCCACAGGCCGTCCGCCCGCCCACAGGCCGTCCGCCCGCCCACAGGCCGTCCGCCCGCCCACAGGCCGTCCGCCCGCCCACAGGCCGTCCGCCCGCCCACAGGCCGTCCACCCACCCGCCCACAGGCCGTCCGCCCGCCCGCCCACAGGCCGTCCACCCGCCCGCCCACAGGCCGTCCACCCACCCGCCCACAGGCCGTCCACCCGCCCACAGGCCGCCCACCCGCCGAGGCCTCCGACCCGCTCCCCCTCCTGCTGCCCCCGGCGGGATTGACAGCGGGATTGACGGCGGGATGGACGGCGGGATGGACGGCGGGATTGACGGGTCCCTGCGCGTCGGGGCTCTCCGTGTCACCCCGGTGTCCATCGCTTTGTCCCATTAGGTCCTCCTTAGCCGCTCCTGCTCTTGGCTTCCCCTCCACAGTGTCCGGAGGGCTCCCAGCTGCCGGGCCTGGGCCCCGCCCTGGACCAGCCTGAGCCCACGTCCTCCTCACGCCGCACGGTGGAGCCAGCGATGAGGAAACAGAGGCTGCGACGGACGGCTTGTCCGCCCGGAAGGCCAGCAGGCACGCTGGGATTCGGACCCACCTCCTGGCCCTGTGCCCCGGCCGACCCACGGGCGCTTCTGTCTCTGCACAAAGCGCCTCCCCGTACGCCTGAGGCCGGAGCCGCCCGCCTGGCTGGCCGGAATGGGGTGTCTTTGTGCGGGGCTTCCTCCGCTGCCTGTCAGGAACTGGGGGAATGCTGGGAACCCCAAGGGCATGGAGACGACCGGTCAAGGTCATGACCCTCCCACCCCCCTGCCCGCATGGCAAAGACAAGACACACACTCCAGAAGCCGGACCACCCGGTGCAGACCCAGAACTGGAAGAGCTGCCAGGCCTGGCTCTCCCCAGACACAGCCTGGGGGTCGCAGGCCAGACACTGCCCCCCGGAACCTCCGCTCCAGAGCGGGCCTGCGGGGCTCCCTGGCTTGTCTGGCCGGCACGGCAGCCCAAGTTAATTAATTAAGGTGGATGCGGCGAGCCCCGTGGGCAGCGCCGTGGCCGGCACAGATGGCGGGGCTACGGCTCTCCGGGCTGCTGGGGCGCGGGGGCCGGCACTGAGGGGGCCCGGGGCTCTGCACTGGCTCTGGGGGCGTGGCCTCGAGCCCTGCCACCCACCAAAGTGCTAAGAGGCCGGGCCGGGAGGAGGGAGGTGCACAGGCAGGGAGAGCCCTGTCTCCTGCCCTCAGGGTTCTCTCCCGGCCCCAGGCTCTTCAGGATGGAGAGGGTTTGGGGGGCCCCAACCCCACTTTCTTTCTCAGGCCCCTCCCAACTCCCCATGCCTCCCCCTCCGCGGTCCCTGCAACTGGAGCAAAGCCCAGGCCGCCATGGCGCCTTCCCCATCCCCATTCTGACCACGGGGACAAAGAGAGACCCCCAAACCCAGAAGCCCTGCTACTGACCTTGAGCCCCAGCCCAGGCCAACCCCCGCCAGTCCGCAGGGGCCACTGACCCCCCCACCACCACGAGGCCAACATCGCCCTTGGCTCCGGCGCTGGGAACGTGGGCATCCCCACCCCCTGGTGGAGGCTCCGCGGTCCGCGGAGAACAATTATTCACGGCTAATGATCACAATCAAGTCAAATGGAATTTAATGGACACGCGCGCGCTTCCCGCTCCCAGCTTCACATGTGAATGAAGCACATATGGGCTCCTCGAGGCGCGGGCAGATTTATGCCGCCCGGAAAGCCCCTCCGCCCGGCTCCTCCCTCCGCCAACAAACAGGCTGATGGACGGCCGCTGGGCCTGGGGACCGCGATCTCTGCTGCCCCTGGCGGTGGGCATGGGGGCTGGGATGAGGCCCCCCCAGCCAGTGTGAGGCCGCAGGCCAAGACCTCCAGGGCCCCTGAGGTCTCACCAGTGCCTCGGCCACCCAAACACAGGGCTGGCAAACGCCTGGACCAGGGCCTGGAGGGGTGCAGGCTCCCCTGAAGGGTGGGGGCCCCTGTGTCCGAGGGCCGCCTCAGCCACTCCCGGCAGGTCCGGTTCTCCCTGCTGTGAGGCTCTCTCTAGAAATAAGGAGGTCCCAGGAACACCCGCCAAGGGTGCTGGGTAAACGGAGGCCGGCGGAGGGAGGAGAAGGCTGCTCCTCTGCGGGAGCACCCAGCACCCCTCCATCGCCGGGATGGGGCCGACGGCAGAGGAGTGGCGAGGCACCGCGGCAGCAGCAAGAGCAGGCTCTCAGCTCGTGCCAGGCACGGGGTGTGCACCACAGCTGATAGATCAGCGCCTCATGCCCCCAGCGCCCCACAGCCGGGTTCTCTGCCCCCGTGCCAGCCAAGGAGGAAACGGCGGCCCAGGCGGGCACGGAGGAAAGGGGGCCTCAGAGAGAGGTGCAGACGCTGCCACCCAGCCTGGCGCTCGGATGCAGCCAGGGCCGAGTGCGCTCTGAGGGAGAGGCTGCCAGCGCCGCTAGGCTCCGAGGCTGCAGGCTCGGGGCACTGGGAGGGCCATTAATCACGCCGCAGCCTCCGGAGCCCCGGCCGCTCCATCTGTGCCCGCCGACGCCCCGCCTGGTCCCCCCACCCTCCCGCCCGGCCCCCCAACCACCCACTCAGCTGCCCCGCTCTCCCCTCCCGCCGCTCTGCTGCTCAGCATGGCAAGTGCCCGCAGGGGGCCTCCCACACCCTGGCCAGTGACTGACGGGGCAGGGACACTGGGCAGGGCAGCCCCCCGGGCCTGTGGGACTTCCCCTCGGCCCAGCCAGGCCCTCCTGGGTGGAGGCGGCAAGAACGCCCTTCTCCTCGGGCTGCCGTGGCGTCTGCCAGCCCAGCGTGGCGTCCCCGCTCCACGTCCCCCAGATGGGCTCACAGACCTCGTGGCCCCCGGGGGCCGGGAAAGAGCAGACGCAGCGAAGGACACGGGGTGACCCAGGCTGCCGCTCCGAGTCAGACCTCGCGTGCCTGTCACCTGTGTACGAGGCCGGAGCCCGGGGCAGGAACACCGTCGGGGCCGCACGGTCCCACCAGCACCCAGAGGGGGTCACGCAGAACGAGGCCGGACCACAGACAAGCAGGCCCGGCAGCCTGGTCCCCGAGCCAGCTCAGCACCGGCACGGCCACGCCCGGGATCCTCTGAGGACCCCCTCCCTGGCCAGACACAAGCCCACGGCCGAGAGGAGGGGGACGGAGATGCTTCTGGGGGTGCAGAGACTGCGGGGTTTCCCCGGGAGTCTGCCCAGTCCCCAAACCTGGCTCTAGGACAGGGGCTCCCTGCTGAGATGTCCTGCGAGCAGGAAGTGAGGGCTGGTGAACCCCCCCACACACCTGGACTTGACCTTGGCCAGACAGCCGCTGCCTGGAGAGCAGCCCCCCCAGAGGGACCAATCCGCAGACTCCCGACTCATCACAATAAACTGCCGCGCCAGCAGTCACCGGGAGTGCGCCTGGGCTCCGCTGCCCCCTCCCTCGCCCCGCCGCTCCGGGAGGAAGGAAGCGGAGGTCCGGGACCCGCCTTCCGGGAAGGGCGGCCGCAGCGATGCCAGCCAGGCCCCTCCCCGGCCGCAATGGCCTCCGGCCGCGGGCAGCGCAGCCGGGCGCCCTGACACGGGCTCAGGCATCCGCTCAGCCGGCGCTCCGGCTCCCGTGCGCCAGCGGCCGCCCCGCCGGAGCCGGAGCCGGAGCCGGAGCCGGTGGGTCCCCGTGCGGGCGTGGCGGGCCGGGGCCAAGGGGACGGGCGGCCGCGCCTCCACTCACCGGCGTTGACGATGGCGTCCACCTCCAGCTTGGTGATGTCGCCGCGGAACAGGGAGATCTTCTCGTTGAGGTGCTTGTCCTTCTTGTACTTGGGCTCCTTCTCCTCCGCCTTCACGGCCAGCCCTGGAGCAAGCAGAGGCTGCGGGAGTGCCACAGGCCGGCGCCCGGGCAGCGCCCTCCGAACTGCGAACACTGGAAGGGCCGCCCTCACTCTAAGCGCCTACTGTGTGCAGCACACACCAGTCCTGAATCTACAGCGATGCTGGGCGCAGGTACAGCGGTGGCCCGCCCGCCCCGTTTTACAGACGTGGAGCAGAGGCCTGGGGGGCGAGGTGACCTGCCCAGGTTCCCAGTGACCAGTGCTACCACGTGCGGGGCCTGGGCGCTCACCGGCACACGCCCGGCAAGCCTCGCCACCACAGCCACCAGCCCCAGGTCTGGGCGCAGCTCCGGACAATGTCACGGGGGTAAAAGCCACGCCCGCCTCAGGCGGGCACGGTGCCCTGCACACAGTAGGCGCTCACTCCCCGCTCGCTCCCCTCGGCCGCCTCTGGAAGGCTCCCCCGCGGTGTGGTCTGCAGGGGCCTCCCGGCCGGCCGGCAGGGCCTACCTTTCGCCGTCTCCTTCCAGGTGGGGACCTTCTTGAGCCTGATGAAGTCCTGGCAGAAGTAGTGCTCCTCCCGCTGCTTGTCGCTCAGGCCCTTCAGGAACGCTGTGGGCAGGCGGGGCGGGAAGGAGAGTCAGGCAGGCAGGGAGCGGGGCACACCTGGGGGCTCCCCCCGCACTGGTCTCGGGACTCTCCTCGCCTCCAAGGATGCAAACCAGCCCTGGGAGCCCGGGAGGCTGCTGGAACCTCTGCCTTGCCTTCTTTGTCCCGGAGGGGAAACTGAGGCCCGGAAGGCCATCCCGCCAGCACCACGGGCCAGAGGCCAGAGGTCACCTCGGCCGCTCTCCCGCAGCGCCCATAGCCCCAGGCCCCTGATTTCTTCCTGTAGAGTGTGGGGATGAAGGCGCCTCTGGCAGAATAATTTCAAGCTTACCCATGCGAAGGCCAAGCAGGTGGGTGACAAGGAATCAATTACATTATCAGTCAGCTACCTCATCCATCGATTACATTATCAGTCCATTAAGTGATCCGTCAGTTACATGATCAATCAGTTACGGCATCAGTGGTCTCATTAGCAATCAGTTACATGATCCACAGACATCATCGTCGTCATGATGTGTAGGCTCATCACGGGAGCCAAGCAACCTCCCTCCTCCAAGAGCCACAGCGCCGAGCAGCCTGCTGCCCGTTACAGCAGCCCCCCAGCACCAGCCGAGGCCGCCCCGGACAGGTGCCTGCTGGGCCGCCTCCCCCGCCGCGGCCCTGGCCCTGAGCCTGGCGCCCCCTGTGGGCGGCACCGGGCAGAGGAGCTCAGAGCGCCCTCAGAAGCAGCCGGCGCTCCTGAGCCGCGGTCCAGGCTCGTGGCTTGTGAGCTCCCCCTGCTGGCCCGAGGCCACACGTCACCCAGGTGCTCAGCCCAGCCTCGTGGCCTGGACCACGTACTCCCCCCTGCTGGGGCAGACCCCACTGACCATGGGGGAGTGGAGAGGGTAATAACCAGCAAAAGGCACAGACATGGGACTCAGACATGGGACGGGAAAGTGTGCAGAGGTGGGAGGGCCCTTAGAGGAAGTGGTGGGAGAGGAAGGGGTGCCTCCGAGCCTTCCGGGGAGATGGTTGCGAGGGGCAGGTATTCAAGATTCAGGTTGGCCCCTGGGGTGCTCTTTCCTGCCCAGCTCCCTGGGTGCTCCTCGAGGACGCAGGCCCCAGGTCATGGCCCGCTCAGCGCTAAGGTGGGGCGACTACAAAAGGCTCATTGCACCAGTGGCTCCAACCAGAACCCCGCTTCCAGGCAGCCACGCCCCACCCTTCCAGACACCTACGAAGTGCAGGTCCTGGATGCGGGGGGTTGGGGGGAGACACAACAGTCACCAAGGCAGACGTGGCCCTGGAGGACCCACAATCCGGCACGGAAGCCAGACGGACCGGCTCAGCACCAGCAAGCCGCCCAGGCGGGCGGGGAAGGCTCAGGGGCTGGCACAGGAGCCGGACCCCAGCCCGGGGGACCTGAGAGACGCTGAGGGGCGTTGGAGGCAGCCTGGGCGGGAAGGGGTTTCCGGGCAGGGGCAGCATGTTCCCGGTGCGGGCTCCATCCCCAGAGTGGGGCGGGCAGGAGGCAGCCGACCAATGGTTCTCTCTCATCACTGATGTTTCTGTCTCGCCCTCTCCTCTCCCTTCCTCTCTAGGAAATCAATAAAAATATATTTTAAAAATAAATACATAAACTCTTGACCTCCCCCTGGTGGCCTGTCTTCCAGCCCATCCAGGTGCTGCTGCGGCAGTGGGTGTCCCTCTCCCATACTCCCTCTCCCAGCCTCCCCCACTCGTCCTCCAGCCTCAGATGCTGCCTCCTCCCCCCACCAAGCAGCAAGCACCCCCTCCCCCCTCCCCGCCCACACCTCGTCCTCCTCCAGTCACTGGGCGTGAAGGTCCTTCCTCCCAGAAGCCACCGCTCACCTCCGGAGGACAAGCTCCGAGCTCCCTCCACACCCTCTGCCGTTCGGTCTTTAAAACAAAACCCTCCCCGACCCCACCTTCCACGCCCCACGGCTGGAGCCTCGTTTCCCTGCCCCCTCCTCCACTGTCCACACATCCTCCCTCCCATGCTCCTCCAACCCGGGAAGGCCAGGCCCCACCTCTCCATCAAGGCCAAGGTCAGAGACACCGGGCTGTGTGGCCCAGTGCAGTGGCCCTTCCTGTCCTCCCTGTTCACTCAGCACCTCCAGCCCCTTCGTCCCATCAGGAAGCCCCTCTCCTGGACCCGCCTGGCTCTCTGGTCCCCTTCTCCCTCTTCCTCCATCCACACCCTCCCTAGGTCATCCCGGCAACGCCCTTCTTTACACTTCAGCCCCTCAGCATCTTCTGGGCTGTCAGACTTACCCCACCGTACCCCGAAACCAAGCCGTCCCCCGAAACCAGGCCGTCTGCTCACGCTGCCAGGGCCAAGCCTCCATCATCGCTCCCTAGAGCCCTTCAAAGCCCCCAACTCCCGGTGACTCCCCGTCCCCGCGTCCACCCGACTGTCAGCTCCTCACACAGCAGCCCGGGGAGCTTAGGAACATGCCGGAAGCCATCGCTCTGCTTAAAGCTCCTTTCAAACACCGGGTCCTGACCATGGCCAAGTACCAGGCCTGCCTCTCTCCCCAGCCTCCTCCTGTGCCACCCGCCCCTACACTTCCTTCTGTCCCCCCCCCCCCCCAGCCAGGCAGCCAAGCAGGTCACCTTGGCGTTCCTCCACCGCCAGGCTGTGCCCGGCCTCAGGGCCTTTGAGCCGGCTGTGCCCCCGCCTGGCCTCCCTCCTCCCTGCCCTCCCCCCAGAGCAGTCCTTCCCTGACTGCACTTGGCTCCTCACTTGACCTTGGCCACACCGGGTCTGCCCTGGTGTGTGAGCACCGTGGGCAGAGTCAGGGAGCGGGCGGGCGGAGACCTGGAGGTGGAGGGCAGGGTGTCTCAGAGGGAACAGCACGGCGGAGGGGACAGCATGTGCCCACGCCCTGAGGTGGAGGGAGCTGGGCGGAGAGAGGGAGAGGGAGCCAGGGCTGCCGGGCTGGACACAAAGGCTCGGCCGAGGCCGAGGGCGCGCCGGGCAGGCTGGCCGGGCAGCCGCTGCTGTGTTCTTCCCTGGCCCCCGGCCCACAGGCCTGCGCCCGCCACGCCCGGCACCTGGTTCCTGGGCGCCCCCAGCCTCTCTGCGCCTCAGTCTTCTCATCTCTAGAGCGGGCCACGAGCCTCCCGGAGCCCGGCTGGCTGTGTGAGAGCTGGCGGGAGCACCCTGTGAGCTGTCACACACAGCCTGCGCCTCGGGCACGCACCCAGCGAGGGAGACTCAAAGGAGCAGAACAAGACACGGTTTGGGGGTTTTCTTCACCTCGGAGCACAGTGGGAAGAGGAGCTTTTTAAATGATTCGGTCCCCGCTGAAACCGGTTTGGCTCAGTGGTAGAGCGTCGGTCTGCCGACTGAAAGGTCCCGGGTTCGATTCCGGTCAAGGGCATGTACCTTGGTTGCTGGCACATCCCTGGTAGGGGGTGTGCAAGAGGCAGCTGGTCGATGTTTCTCTCTCATCGACGTTTCTAGCTCTCTATCCCTCTCTCTTCCTCTCTGTAAAAAATCAATAAAATATATTTTAAAAAAATAAAATAAATAAATGATTCGGTCCCCATGTTTGTCATCTTGCCCAACTGTGACCAAAGACTCCCCCTCTGAGGCTGGCACCGCCCCAGTGCAGGCTCCCAGCCAGCTGCACCGGGGCCAGAGGGGACGCATCTGTGTGACATGGAGACGGGGCAGCTGGGGCCCAGATCGAGCCCACAGGACCGTGAGCTGAGGCCCGCTGGCCGGGGCGGCCCCAGGCACCCCATCCAACTCGTCTGGGTGCCCAGGGGTGGCTCAGACCCCCTAGCCACCACCACCTGGCAGACGCCAGCACCCGCCTTTCAGAAAAGCAGAGCCTTGCCCAGCCACGGGCAGGCCTGGACCAGATACAGCCCAGCGCTCACTCTCTCCTCCCCCATCCCCTCCCCCCGCCACTCCCCCTCCCCATGGCCTCATCTGAGTGACCGCGGCCTGCACAGCCCCTCTCCAGCAAAGTCCAACAGACGCCCCACTTCTCAGAGACGACAGAGGAAGACAACAGAGCTCCCAGCTCTGCCACCAGCGCTGGGTGCCAGGAGGGACGTGTCAGCCTGTCCCTCCAGTCCGTGGCCCCCAAGCTCGCACCTCAACCCCAGGTCTGGGCCTGGCCCTGATCACCCCCCACTTCCCGCCAGGCACCCCGGGAGAAGCGGGCCCTTCGGCGGGACACGGGCCCACACATTTACATCTCCCGCCTCCCTCTGCCCGAAAGACAGATGCAGGCTTGAAGCACAAGTGAGTTTTATTTTTCTTATAAAAGATGTACAGCACGGGTTTTAATTTTCTCTCTGTTTCGGAGAGGGAGAGAGTATTTCACGGCCCAGGGAGACGGGTGCTGTAGAAGATGTGCGCAGTAAATTTTGATGGGAGGCCTGACCCAGGCAGAGCTCCGTGCTCCGGGCGCGGGCTGCGCGGGAGGAAGAGGCTGCGCCAGGACCATAAAGTGCAGCGGGCGAGCGGGGATCAGCGATGTGTTTTAAGACGCCCATACGGCGCCGGGAGCCGGGTTCAGAAAGGGGGGCGGCTGGCGCGGGGCTCCTCTGCGGAGAAGCCAGGTGGGCAGGCTGAAAAGGCCGGGCCGGGGGTGGGGCAGCGCCATTAATCACCCCCCCCCCCCGGGCTTCTCTGCCCCCACCGCACCGGATGTGCCAAGGCGACGTCCTCAGGAGACAGATGGGAGGAGGCCCCCGTCCCAGGTGCGCCCGGAACATTCCCCGGTTCAGCAGGCGCATCCGATAAATCACCGGCTCTGGAGGGAACGCCGCGGGGCGGGAACGAGCCCTCACCCCCTCCACCCCACCCCGCACACAGGCTGGAACACGCGTGCACACAGGCTGGAACACACGTGCTTTCCTGAGCCCCAGGGAGCGGAAGCGTGACTCAGGACGTGTGGGTCGAGCCCCAGCCTGTGGCCGCCTGGCAGGGACCGGGGTGCTCAAGCCCAGCGCCTCCGTGGCCAGCACAGCAGAGAGCAGAGAGGGGACAGGCCCCGGGGGGCCGCGGGGACCCCCGTGCAGTGTGTGGGCCGCAGTGTATAAATGGTTCTGATGTCATCCCAGTGCAACCTACCAAGCCTGTAGGTCAGGTGCTGGTCCTATTTCACAGATGAGGAAACTGAGGCTCGGGGAGCCTGGAAGCAGGGCTGGGCTGGCCCGGTCTCTTTGAGCACAGCGCGGCCCCTGCAGGTCAGGGGCCCTCCCCTGGTGCCAGTCCAGGTGCCCTCAGGGCCTGACCTTGAGTCTCTTCCCACCCCCTGCCTCCCCACACTTTCCCGGTGGGCAGGCACCACCGGGGGAACAACGAGGGGACTGAATCAGAGAGAGGAACCGTGGCCGCTGTCATCAGAAGCTGCAGCGGCCGCCCCAGACGACGGAACTGTCCTCCTCAGGAAGCCCCAGCCCGAGGCCCCGCACGACCGAGGGGAACGGGCCCGGGAAGCGGCAGCTCCCCCGGAGGGAGAGGAAGGGAGTGCCAGGGGAGGCAGAGTGCGGCCACCTCCCAGAGGACGCACTGGCCGGGGGCTGGGCGTCCGCACGGGGCCAGAGCGGGCAGCAGCCTCACGCAGACCACCACCGGAGCGAGTGCCTGAGGCACAGGGTGGCTTTCAAAACCACCCGTCAGCTCCCAGGCAGAACCTCTGCTGCTGGCGAACTAGGACGACGGTCTGGCTTCCAGAGGCTTTCCCAGGGAGAGGGCTCCGTCCAGGGCCGGCCCGTGGCTCTCCGCCCTCCTGCTAGACTTCCCACCTTGAACTAGACATCACCCTTCATCAGTATCTTGTCAGTAGTTTGGTTACTGTGCACCAGTCTTTTTAACTGCTTTTATTTAAAAGGTATGTATATATACACACATATATATACATATATACACACACATATATAGTTTATTGACTTTTAGAGAGAAAGGACGGGAGAAGGAGAGAGAGAAACATTGATTGGCTGCCTCCTGCACACCCCTTACCGGAGATCGATCGGAAACCCAGGCCTGTGCCCTGACAGGGAATCAAACCGGCAACCTTTTGGTGCACAAGACGATGCCCAACCACTGAGCCACACTGCCCAGGGCTGTGCACAGTGGTTGAGAGAGGATCACCTCAGGCACGGACGGGCACGTGGAGGCCTGGCAGGTATGTCCCCAAGAGAAGGGAGAGCTCATGTCCGTCAGAGACACGTACGTGTTTCCCAAAGTGTGGTACGCGTACCCCCAGGGGTACGGGAAGAGTTTGGGGGGGTACGCGTTGCACCGGAGTTTGGTGGAGTTATGCACTGCACTGTGCTTAGCTGCGCCTAATTCTACGTTCTCATGAGTACGAGGGGTACTCAGCGTTACGGAAATTATAGAAGGGGTACACATATGGCAAGTTTGGGAAACACTGCTCTACGCAGTTTCCTCCCCCTAAAACAGCAGCTCTGCGAGGACAGGTCCTTCCCTGTCTCACTCGTGGCTCGGTCCCCAGCACCAAACAGCGCTGCACATGGGAAGCACTCGGTAAACGTGGACTGACTGAACGAGTGGCCATCCCAGCAGAGGGACAGAGAAGCTGCAGGAGCCCGGGAACCTCCAGCCTGCGAGCATCAGGAGATCTGGAAGTTTTCAGGGGCACCAAGAAGTGGGCAGTGCCAGGGAGCTGGATCCTAAAAATTGAGGCCCATCTGAGCCTGGTGGCCGGGCCCCTGGCACTCCCTAGCTCTTTCCTGCCATCCTGGGTTACCGCCCCTGACAGAGGAGAAGCCAGGCTCCCCGTGGGACAGTCCCCCTGCCGGGGGTGTCTGCTGTCCCCTGCCGGGGGACTTGTCCAGCCCCCCTCCCTGCCCTGATGGGTGTTCTGGGGCCAGCGCTGAGAGCAAAGTCAAGTGCTTTCTGCGGGCGCTTTAAGATCCCAGCGCGGCCCAGCGACTCTGGAGGTGGGTAAGTCACCGTGAACTCCGCCTCCAATCCGCAAAGGGCTTCGTCCCACGCCCCCACCGAGGCCGCCAGGGCTGCCTCGCAGCCTCATTGGCCAAAGCCCCGGCCCCGCAGCCAATGAGCGGCTTTCCCTGCCTTTCGAAAGGGGATCCAGCGGGAGCAGACCCTGAAGGGCAGGGGCAGCTGGGCCGGCAGTCTGGGCTATTTGGGGCTCCGCAGGCCAGGCTGCCTCCCTGCCTGGCTCTGTGCGAGGGGGGCGGGGGACACAGTCCGGCTCTGGGACGCCTGCCCGTCCTGTGGGGGTGATGTCACTCACTGTTCTCAGACACAATGTCCATCTCCGCCCTGTGCCCCCCAGGAGCGGGGCAGGGACTGCTAGCAAGTGGCAGGCAGCCAGTGGTGAGGGCGAAAGGGCACCAGACCACGTGCCCAGGGGCAGGCCTTCCAGGGGAGGCGGTGAGGGGGGACAGGCCGGCCCGGGGAAGCCACTCCTTGGGGCTATGTGACCCCACCAGATGGGACACCAGCCAAGCCAGAGCGATCCCCTCAGCCCGCCCCTGTGTGTGCCACCTGAGGAGCCATCCCATGCAAATCCGCCCTGCCGCCAACTCCCAGGTGACCTTGGGCTGCTCCGCTCAAGTCCTGGGCCTCAGTTTCCCTCCTGCACAACGGAGCAAGGTGGGGGTCCTGGGTGATCTCTAGGGTGCCCTATGACCCATCCCAGTGGGGTAAGGCCACCTTCTTCACGCCGCTCCTGACCGGGGACCTGGACCCGGGTCTGGGGTGAGCTGGTTTGTGGGGCTGGGAACGCGGGGGGCGGGGGGCGGGGGGGGGGAGAGGCGTGGCTGTGAACGGGGGAGTCCTGATCAGGGTTTGGGGGGCCTCAAGCTTCCACCGGGCTCGGCAGGAAGCGCCTGCCGGTGGGGTGCCGTCCAGCCTGGGAAGCCCACGTGGGGCGGCCTCGCCCTCGCCCCTCTGTTCACACTTACATTTCGCCTCCTTCCAGTCGGTGGAGGTGTTCAGGTCCACCTTCGCCGCCATGGCCAGGGGCGCCCAAGTGCGCACCCCGGCTCTCCGCCCCGCCGCCGCCCCCCGATCCCCAACTCCCGCCGGGGCCCGCGCGCGGGGCCCGAGGGCGCTGCTGCGGGTCCACGCGGCCACCGCCGAGGGGCCGGGCCAGGGGCGCGGGGCGCGGAGGAGCCGCCCCGGGGCGCGGAGGAGGGCCAGGCGGCCGGGCAGCGACATGAGCGGCGGCGCGGCTCCCGCCCCCTGGACTCCGATTACGGTGCAGGGGAGACTCCCCCTTGTTTACTCCGGAACCCGCGTCGCTGCCAGCCCCGGCGACCAGCACAGCCCGGGATGGTGCCGCGCGGAGCACCCTGGAACTTGTAGTCCTGACGCCGGAGGGGCCCGCCAGCCCCGCCTGCCCGGCACCCCGGCTCCGCAGGCCCCGCCCACCCCGGCACCCCGGCTCCGCAGGCTCCGCAGGCCCCGTCCACCCTGGCACCCCGGCTCCGCAGGCCCCGCCCACCCGGCACCCCGGCTCCGCAGGCCCCGCCCACACCGGGCCCGCAGGCCCCGCCTACCCCGCACTCCGGCTTCGCGGGCTCCGCCCACCCCGCACTCCGGCTTCGCGGGCTCCGCACCCCCAGCCTCGGGGCTGCTCGGCCGAGGCCAGCTTGCCGGTCCGTGAAGACTCCACCCTCGGCCCTGCACGCGGCTCCGGCCCGGCTCCGCCCGAACTCCGGGAGCTAATGCCCCGCCACGCGGGACGTCAGGGCCCTCCCCGCACCCATCCCGCACCCAGTCTCCGGGAGCCCCGGTCGGGCTGCCCTTGGAGAGGTGACAAGGGACGCGAGCAAGTACGTCGGGTTCGGTCCGGCGACTTTCCCGGGCCGGGGCGCCGCCTCCTCGCGGTCGGGGCGGGGAGGGGCGGGCAGGGGCGGGCAGGTGAGCGGCTCGGATGGAATCCGGAGCCGCCCGGAGGCAGGAGCACGGAGTGGGATCTGAAGGTGGAAAACTTGAGGTCTGGGTGACGTTTTCCGAGGAAGAATTGGAGTGATTTTTTAAAAATTGTTTCCTAGTATTTTACAAAGACCATAAAGATGGATTTTTACATACTTTTATGTCTTTCTATACTACTAATACTATTTGGTGAATATTTTTATAACAGTTCCAGCTTTGCCCCCCTGGGGTACACTGGTCCCTTGCAGCTTGTTGAGGTGTAAGTTATAACCAGCATTCAGGTCGAGCCAGTTGCAGACCTGCCCCAGCGCTTAGGCCTCTGGCGCCGGGTGTGGCAATGACCCTGGACCAGGCTGTGGGCGCCATGCTCAAAAGAGAATCAGGTGCTGACTAGTTTGGCTCAGTGGATCGAGCATCTATCTGCGGACTGAAGGGTCCCAGGTTCGATTCTGGTCAAAAGCTTGTATCTTGGTTGCAGCCACATCCCCAGTAGGGGGTGTGCTGGAGGCAGCTGATTTATGTTTCTCTCTCATTGATGTTTTTAACTCTCCCTTCCTCTCTGTAAAATAAATTATATATATATATATATATATATATATATATATATATATATATATATATATATATATATATATTATTTTTTTTTTTAGAGGATCACTGGCACACATGCCAGTGGGAGGAGGGCAGTGATTGGCCTTGGGAGTGAGGGCAGAGAGGGGAGATCAAAAGTCAGGGGTCTGCGTGGCTCCGTGGACAGAGTCAGCCTGCTGACTGAAGAGTCCGGGTTTGATTCCCATCAGGGCGCATGCTGGAGGCAGCCAATCGATGTGTTTCTCTCACATTGATATTTCTCTTTGTCTTCCACTCTCTCTAAAAATCAATGGGGAAAAATATCCTCAGGTGAAGATTTAAATTAATTATTTTTTAATATATTTTTCATTGATTTTTTTACAGAGAGGGAGAGAGATAGTTAGAAACATTGATCAGCTACCTCCTACATGCTCCCCACTGGAGATGTGCCCATAACCACATTGAAACCTGGGACCCTTTAATCCGAAGGCCAATGCTCTATCCACTGAGCCACACCGGTTAGGGATAATTAGTTAATTTAAATTTTTTTTTTTTTAAGTCAGGGGCCAGGAAGGAAGGTCCAAGGGCCTCCAACATGCCAGGACCATCTGCAAGGCCTGTGCCTCCTCCCAGAAAGGTCAGTGAGGTGAGATCAGGATGTGGTGCTCAGGCCTCCATGCCCAAGGTCACTCTCCACCTGCTGCTTCTCTCAGAACTCAGCCGTGCAAGGTGGCCTTGCCTCCTAACACACTGTCTGCTTGTTCTGCCCCTGCTAACCGGTATACTTCCCACCGCCCGGGCACACACGAGCAGCCAGGACTGGCCCCGGGTCCGCACAGCCTGCGAGGTGGGGCCCAGGCTTCGGTCCAGATGTGTGGTTCCCATCTGTGGTCTGGGAAGTGATTGCACAGATGTCACCGACTCGGTGCATGATGTGGGTGACCGTGTTTCGTTTTCTGTTGCTGCCGTACCAATTATTGCAAATGGAGTAGCTTAAACAGCACGTCATCTTAAGAGTTCTGTAGGATACAAGTCTGACAGGGGCCTCACGGGCTAACATCAAGGTGTCAGCGAGGATGTGTTCCTTGCTGGGAAGCTGCCTTTTCCAGCGTCCAGAGACCACGCACATTCCTGGGCTTGTCGCCCACATCCTCCAGTTTCAAAACAGGCGACGGTGCCCCTCTGACCATTCCCCACGGCGGCCCTCCCTCTGCCTCTCTGGCTAACCTCGTTCGTTTTCAAGGACGTTTGTGATTACCTGGGACCCACCAGGGTAACCATGACAACCTTCCTATTGAAAGTCTGCCGAATTCCATCTGCAACATTAATTTCTCTTTGCAGTCATCCCGATATGCCAAGATAACCAAGTTTGAACTCTGGTCAGGGCACATCAAGAATCAACCAGTGAATGCATGAAATAAGTGGAACAACAAATCAGTGTTTCTCTCCCCTTTCCTCTCTCTAAAGTCAATTTTAAAAATTAAACAAAATACAACAGGCAGACTGTCAAATTGCAGCAGGGAGGGGAGGGAGATCTGGGGGAGATAGTAGATCAACCGAAGGACTTATATACATGCATATAAGTACAACCAATGGACACAAAACTCTGGGGAGGGAGGGCATGTATGGGAGGGGGTGGGCAATGGTATATGTACAAAGATAATAATTTAATAAAAAAATTAAATAAAATAGTCCTCACTAGTTTGGCTCAGTGGATAGAGGATTGGCCTGAGGACTGAAGGGTCTCGGGTTCGATTGCAGTGAAGGGCATATACATCGGTTGCAGGCTCCATCCTCAGCCCTGGTCCCAGAGCAGGTGCAGAGGCAACCAATTGATACGTATGTCTCTCACACATCGATGTTTCTCCCTCTGTGTCTCTCCCTCTCCCTCTCACTCTCTAAAAATCAATGAAACAACATCCTCAGAGGGAGGATTAACAACAAAAAATAAATAAAATTAAAACATGCCAAGGATCAGGACTTGGTTTGTGGTTTCAGTTGAGAGGCCTGGCCACACACCAGCGTGGATGTGGACGGAAGTGTGATTCCCCTGGACCTCGCCTCAGAGAGTTTCAGCCTGACCTCACGGAAAAGGTAAAATGGCCGAAACTGGTTTGGCTCAGCTTGATAGAAACTGGATAGAGCGTCAGCTTGGGGACTGAAGGGTCCCGGGTTCGATTCCAGTCAAGGGCATGTACCTTGGTTGCGGGCACATCCCCAGTAGTGGGAGTGCAAGAGGCAGCTGATTGTTGACTCTCTCTCATTGATGTTTCTAACTCGCTATCTTTCTCCCTTCCTCTCTGTACAAAATCAATAAAATATATTTTTTTTAAAAGAAAAGAAAGAAAAGGTAAAATGTTGCCGGGTACCAAAGGTGTGTGGGGGAGGGTGGGTGTTATTTCAGGCCAAAGGACCCCCAGAAACACAGGCGTGGGGGTCTGGAATGCCAAGTCTTCTGGTGGGGATGTAGCACCAGGCGTTGTCAGTTGAGGAATTTTAATATTGGAGAGGGAGGGGCTTTTGTGAGAGAAAAGCTACCTATTGCTGCTTGTGTTTAAATTAATACTGCTTATTAAGCTTATAAATTAAGAAAAGAACTAGTTTTTCTTACACATGCAAATACAACTTGTAAATCTAGTCTTCTATTTATAAATCTACTAATGTTTGTATAAAAATAAGAGCAACTACTTTCATTTATTCTTTGATAAATATTTAATTAACTCACAGTTTCAGTAGATTAAATTCTAAAAATGAATGCCAATTACAAACTTGGGTAATTAAATTCCCTAATAGATTTAAACTACATTGTACAGTGTTGAAATAGCTGTTCCTCTCAAACACCTCAAAATCTTAACAGAAGAGCCCTAGCCAGTGTTGCTCAGTGGATAGAGCGTTGGCCTGCGGACTGAAGGGTCAATAAGGATATACACCAAGTGGCCAGATGATGATGATCTCTGAATAAAAAATATATATTTTTTTTATTTCAGAGAGGAAGGTAGAGGGAGAGATAGAAACATCAGTGATGAGAGAGATTTATCGACCAGCTGCCTCCTGCACACCCCACACTGGGGATGGAGCCTGCAACCTGGGTATGTGCCCTGACCGGGAATCAAACCGTGACCTCCTGGTTCCTAGGTCAACGCTCAGCCGCTGAGCCGGGCTGCACTGTGGTCAATTCCAACCTGCTTGTCACGTAGCAGTTTCAAGTCTCAAGCCTCAGCCAAGCTCAAGTGTGCAAGAAATACATTTAACATCTCCCAGCCGAAACCAGTTTGGCTCAATGGATAGAGCGTCAGCTTGGGGACTGAGGGCCCTGGGTTCGATTCCGGTCAAGGGCATGTACCTTAGTTGCGGTCATATCCCCAGTAGGGGGTGTACAAGAGGCAGCTGATCGATGATTCTCATCGATGTTTCTAACTATCTCTCTCCCTTCCTCTCTGTACAAAATCAATAAAATATATTTAAAAAAACAAACAAGCCCTGGCTGGTTTGGCTCAGCGGATAGAGCGTCGACCTGTGGACTGAAAGGTCCCGGGTTCGATTCCGGCCAAGGGCATGTACCTTGGTTGCGGGCACATCCCCAGTGGGGGGTGCAAGGAGGCAGCTGGTCGATGTTTCTCTCTCATTGCTGTTTCTAACTCTCCCTCTCCCTTCCTCTCTGTAAAAATCAATAAAATATATATTTTTAAAAATAAAAAAACAGACAAACAAAAACATCTCCCAAACTCAGTCCTGTTTACAGCCGGAGCCAAATAATTTGGAGAGCTGTCCGGTGCATTATTGCATCCCTGGCCTTAGCACACCCATCCCCGGAGTCATGAC